GCAACACATACAGAAGAGCCAGCAGATATTTTGTCTTTCACAGTCAGCAGGTGAGTGCTTATCAAGGTCTATGCCCAGAATGTGCATAGTAAGAGTGTAGTCATGGGTGTGTGACAGTGTGGGATGGCAACTTTTCTAGTTGCCAGGGGAATGTAGGTAGTTAGAGATTACTCCACTGACCTCTTACACCATGTCCCTATACTATTGGTTTGTAAAAACATCTAATAAAGAGATCTTTAAAAATAAACACAAAACAACCAAACCCAAAGCCTGAACTAGCCACTGCTTTTTCTCAATACCTCTGCTCCATGACTGACTTTTTTGACTCTCAAGAGATAAGGGTTTTATTCCAGAACTGTTTGGAGGTTATTCACAAGGGAGCCACACAGAAAGTCTGAAGCATAAATTGGGTGGGGGTGAAGGGGACACAAGACACTCCATCCCAGACTGCTGGAATAGTAGCATGGACCTATGGGAAATGCCTTTTCAACACAAATACAGCTCTATGTCATGATCCCTGTTATTCTGATGGCTATCTGTACATTGGTTGGGAGTTTGGGGGTTGTTTGTTTTGTTTTTTATTCTTTTGTTTTATTGTTATTTTGCTTTTTTTTTTTTGGTCTTGGTCTATACAAAAAAGTAGGGTGGGAAATCTTATGGCGACAATGGCCAGACCAATGGTTCTTTGGGGGCATGGGAGGGGAGAAGTGGGGGAGGTTATAGGGAGCCAACAATGGCGATTACAGGGGAATAGGAAGAGCTCTAAAATGTACCACATGGAGGGTGTAGCTTTTCTGGGCATGTTTGATCAATCGAATTGTATCTGAGAGGAATTACTGAGCAGTGAATACAGGCAAGCATAATAGTGGGGTAGGAGAAAACAACAAAAAACAAAACCATATATATGTGCATATATGTATTAATATACATATATGAATATGTGCATTTTCGTGTATATATGTAAATGAAACAAGGAAACAGATGGACCTTGGGCCTCTACTTAAATCTTACTCTGTATAAGAATGGTTCTAAAAATGTGGCACTGTATGATTCCCTCCTCCCTGACACGATCATTGAAGACAAAATGGGTACATAAGTAAATGGGGTGAAGCAAGCTGATGGTGCCCGGCTATCAAAAGTGGGTCTTAAAGGCTTGGAGTTAAATAAGTGGCTATTTACCAGGGAAGCAACAAAGTCCACATGAAGAAGCACACCAGCCTGTGAGATCATGAGGTGTTGATAGGAAGAGGTATCACAAGTTTACAAAACACACATCCAAATTGATTTGAAGAGGACTGGATGTAGTGGAGACCCAAAGTCCACCAGCAACAGAATTGGACGGTTCCTCTTGGTGGGGCCTCACGGAATGGAGGATGAGTTCAGGATACAGTTTGGTACTGAACCACATAGCTATCTTCTAGTTTAAGATTTCCTCCCATTAGTATTATGGTCCATACATGATATACCTCATTGGTTATGTTAGACTTATGTTCACTTAAGATCTCTTGGTACATGGTAGTCTAGATAGATGATCCCTCAGAGACACTGACAGGAGTAAGGGTTCCTGGAGGGTGTGGGAAGTGGTTGGGGGGTGGAGTGTGAAGGGAGGAAGAGAGAAGAGAGGAGTTGATAACATTTATAATGTTAATACAAATGTCATTTGAGAGAGAGAGAGAGAGAGAGAGATAAGGGTTTTAGGATTGGCGGGACCCCTGGTGGTATAGTGCATTGCGTATTGTAATGCTAACTGCAAGGTTAGCAGTTTTAACCACCAGCTGCCTCACAGTGTTACAGTTTCAAAAGCCCAAAGGAGCAGTCTACCTCCCTTATAGGGTCACTGTAAATTGGAATGAACTCTTTGGCAGTTAGTTTGGTTTGTTTTTGGTTTCCACCCTGTGTTACTCTGGGTTGACTAGCGAAACAAATCCAGAGACACGCATATGTGTGTAAGAGTTTTATATCCAAGAGTGATTGTATATTAAGAAAACATCTTGGTCCAGTCCAGAGCAAGTCCTTAAGTTTGATATTAGCCACATGTCCAATACTAGGCCATACATTCTTCTACAGACTCACACAGCACATCCAGTGATGCCAAAAGCAGGTGATCACAGGTCAGTGGGTGAAAAGCCTGGGGAAGCATCTCGGCACTGGCACAGCTATCCATGTGGCGTCTCCAGCTCTAGGGTTCTGGCTGCCATCAGCATAGCTTCATATCGCTTGTCAACAGAATGTGAAGCAGAGAGAGTATGTGTTCCGCCCCCGGGGAGGAAGACTGGAGTTTCTAGAGAAGGCCATGCCCCCACAGAGGCATCATTGGCTATGACCTGATTGACAGGCTAGACTCCGCCCCTTCACTCAAGGAGATTATGTAACTGCCATACACCCCATCCCAGCCTCTGCTGCCTGTGACCCATGACTATGTGGGCAAGCACCCTCTCTGTACACTAGGGAGCCATGAAGAACCTGAGACGAGCCAGTCGGTGCATTGTAGCAACGATGAAACATACAACTTTCCTCTAGTTGCTAAATGCTTCCTCCTTCTCTTCCACTCCCTGCCCACCCACCCCCTCCCCCCTCCCCCCCACTATCATGATCCCAATTCTACCTTACAAATCTGGCTAGACCAGAGGATGTACACTGGTCCAGATAGGAACTGGAAACACAGGGAATCAAGGACAGATGATCCCTTCAGGACCAGTGGTGAGAATGGCAATACCGGGAGGGTAAAGGGAGGGTGGGGTGGAAAGGGGGAACCAATTACAAGGATCTACATATAACCTCCTCCCTGGGAGATGGACAACAGAAAAGTGGATGAAGGCAGATGTTGGACAGTATAAGATATGACAAAATAATAATAATTTATAAATGATCAAGGGCTCATGGGGGAGCGGGGAGGGAGGGGTAAAAATGAGCTGATACCAAGGGCTCAAACAGAAAGTAAATGTTTTGAGAATGATGATGGCAACAAATGTGCTTGACATAATGATGTATGTGCGGATTGTGATAAGAGTTGTATGAGCCCCCAATAAAAATTTTTTTAAAAAAGAAAGAATAGTGTCTGAGGTTTTAAAGGTGTATAGTAAAATAAGCAGCCATCTAAGTGAGGTGTCAACTAAGTCCACATGGAGGGGGCATGCCAGCATGTATGATCCAAGGATTGGAAATAATAAAATCCAATATCAGAGGAGGGAATTGCATTAGACCTTCAGTTCTGAGCACCAAGTTTTCAGAAGGCTGTGGATGATAGTGAAAGCCCAAAACCCATCTACAAGGTACCCCCACAGATTAAGCCGCAAGTGAATAACCTCTGTCCATTAACCAGGGATGTGAATAGTTTGCCTTCAGACAGAGTGCATTGCAAAGTGGATTAGTGGACCTGTAGTTAGGTTAAAATGTATCACCTTATTGTTTGTTTTCCCTTTTGACCCATTTTTAATTTGTTCTAGTTTCTATTATAATCATGAATTAAAGTTTGAGACTTTTCTGTATTTTATTATCTTGTTGGGATATATATAAGAAAATATATAAAATTTTCTTTATATGAAATCCAGGATAGGTAAATCTATAGAGACAGGAGGAGCTAGATTAGTAGTAGTTCCTTGGGTTATGGCAGGGAAGATTGGGCGAGTAATGAAGAGCTAATAAGGATATAAGAATGAAGAACATGTTCTAAAATTGATTGTGGTAATGATCACACAACTCTTTTTAATATATTTAAACAGTGAATGGTTTGGTACATGAACTATCAATAAAAGTTTGCAAAAATAAAATCTTTCTCAAGTTTAAAAAAATAACCACCCCCACACGCACACTTTTTTTTCTTTTTTGTTTCCACTCCTCAATTTCAAGGCCAGCCTTAGCTGCCATTGTCTCCCTGAGTTTCTAAACAGAAACACTTTGCTGGTTAGTTGCTTCCAAACTGAGATAATATATGAGAATAGAGGTTTTTACTCAAAATCACTATTCTTAGAATTTCCTTGCATTTGGTATTTGCTCATTTATTTTATTTTGAAACTAAAAGTACTACATGGAGACGATACATTAGCTTGAAGCAAGGAGTCAGTGTTTGCTTAAACAGGTTATAAGATAGACTCGGGGGGGGGGGGGGGGGGGGGGGGGGGAGAGATATTTAACTCAGGTCTAATTACTTTTGACGCTCAGACCTCACAATTCCAAATGTTGGGTGCTTCTGTGAAAAGTCTTTTAAAATGTCCATAACAGTAATCCATGGAATCCATAAATATTCATCTACAAGGTAGATTTAGAAGCACAACAACTAAGAGGGTGATGCTATACAAATGAGTATTTGTGACTATGGATCAAATTTTAAGTGTTGACAGCAAATGTGAATTTTTTTAAAAAGTAAAAAAACTTAGATCAAAGTGAAAATGAGGCCTGCTACAACAACATTAAATGGAATAGAAGGTGGCGTAGTGACTCAGAATCACATGTTGAACCTAAAAGAATTTGAGTGAAAATCTAGCAATATATTTAAATTAATATATAATTTTAAAAATTTGATTTAAAACGCATACACACAGGGATACCTTAGAGGACTTCAAAAAGGTTTTAGGAAAATTTATTATCTTTTAATTTCATTTTTCCATGAACACTTTGAAGCCTTTTTGTATATATACACAGAAAAATAGATATACTAAATAGTCAATTATTTAGTATATCAGGTAGACAGTCGATTATTTCATTTATATTCTTAATATTTTGTGCCATTTTATCAAACCATTTATTTTAGACTTCTCATTTATAAAATAAAAGCCTGTTTCTGTTTAGAGATGCTTCATTTGAGAGTATGTAGGGCATTACTCAAGATAAGCTCCCATGGACTTGATTTTAAATCTCCATATACTGCATAGTTTCTTTTACTTGAATGTTTCCATTAATGCCTCAACATTTATAAGAAAACTATCCTGTTAAAGCTCTGTCATTAAGAACAGAAGTCATAAATATGTAAACTCACATACCCCCGTGTTTTTGTGTTATAGGTAGGTGGGATCTACAACAAAAGCCAACCATTCTGTACATCACCAGTTGTGGTTATGAGGCACTAAGTTGCTATAAGTGTGAACATTTGGTGTCTATGGATCTGCTTTGAACCTTAGAGCCTGCTTATGGGGGAAGGTGAGTATCTTTTGTTTGTTTATTTTTTTATTTTTATTTTTTTTTTTGAGACTCAGAATTGGTTTATTGGCAATGCCCCATGTTGTCCTCTGCTCTCAGAACAGCACTCAGGATCAAAAGAACCCAACCCAAGTCCCTGAGGTTGGCATCTTAGCATGGCTCCCCACAGGGAGGGCAGAGCCAGGAACCCCCCACCCCCCCCCGGCTCCCATCAGGCAGCCTTTGGGATGGGGAGATGCCTGAGCATCACACAGCGCCACCCTCTCCACAGCCGAGACTGCAGGGGTCACCTTTACTGGGGTGCAGAGATGGTGTGGCCCCCATATATCCTGAGGCCACTCTAGAACAGTCACCCCGGGGAGGACAGTAACCAGACCCAGACACACACTTTTGCTCCCCCTCCTTCAGACTGTCCCCACCACTCCCCGAGATCCAGGCCATGGCAAAGGGGCTGGCAAGGAGGGAATGGGGAGGGGTTGTTTGTTTATTAAGAATGTATAAAATAAAGTCAAACTCACCTTTGACAAATAAAATATATTTAGTAATATCATGACGTTATTTCACCCTACTTCAGTCTGTGTGGCCTGAAGGTACTCTTCTACATAGTCTTTTGGAAAACCAAGGCTTCCCATTTCTAGTAGCTAGGGAGCTAAAGTTGTATATTCTTGAGTCTAGTTCCTATCAAGGTGGTAACCTAGGACAAATCTGTCTCTTCTCCTGGATCCAACCTTGAAGAACTAAGAGAAGCCAAATGCACTAGGTCTTATTTTCAGGGGATGTCTTATTTTCCCATGAAGAAGAATACGGTACACATTTATTGTTTATTGTTTTATTAAAAGAGACCTCGCACTTCCTGTCTGCTCTGGCTGCGCTGCGGCCAACAGTGAGCTGCGCAGCGCAGCCACTGCTACAGTCCAGAGTGCAGAGTTACAGTAGCTTTGGGGGCCTTATTTTCTTGGAGGGTTTATTTTCGAGCGGATGCCTTATATTTCAGTGAAAGGCAAAATTGTAGGTAGTTCTTATTTTCGGGGGATGTCTTACTTTCGGGGAAACAGGGTAGAAATGAAGACCAACATCAAGGGATGTTGGGTCTCTGAAAGTTTTGAGGTGTTTGGAGGAAGTGAAGCCCAAGAGCCTAACTTGGGGGCAGCATGACTGAGGCTTTGGCAGTGCCCTGAAATCAGTACCTGTGGTTTGTGTTGTCATAAGCTTCTGTTTGCACAGCTACAAGGAAATTGAGATGAACAAGCAGTTGTATTTGGAAATTTTAACACATCACTCTGAGAAACAAATCAACAGAAAACAAGTTGAGGTATGAATGTCTTAAATAACACAATATGTAAGGTTGAGCTATTAGGTATATTTTGAACTCCGTAATTCTTAGGTGTTGCAAAGTCAGCTCCAATTTGTAGCAATTCCATGTACAACAGACCTAAATATTGCCTGGTTCTGTACCATTTTCACAATTGGTGCCTCACTTGTGCCCATTGTTGCAGCCACTCTATCAATATATCTTATTGTGATCTTCCTCTTTTTTGCTCTCTCCTAAGCATGGTACCTTCTTTCTATAGGGACTGATACCTACTAATAGTATAGCCAAAGTATTTGAGTCAGAGTCTTGCCATCCTTGCTTCCAAGGAACATTCTTTCTGTACCTCTTCCAAGACAAATTTGCCTGTCTTATGGCCCACCCACTGCCATTAAGTCAGTTCTGACTCATAGCAACTTACAAGGATTCCAAGGCTGTACATTTTTACAGGAACAGATACCCTCATCTCTCTCCTTTAGAGTGACTGGTGGATTTGAACTGCAGGCCTTGCTATTAGCAACCCAGTGCCTAACCTACAGCATCATCAGGGTTCCTTTGTTCTTCTGCAGTCCATGGGAATTTCAATATTCTTTGCCAATACCCTAATTCAAATACATTGATTCTCTGGTGTTCCTTACTCATTGCCTAACTTTCACATACATATGAGGTGATTGGTTCAAGGATACTTCAGTCCTCAAAGCCATGCCTTTGCTCCTTAACGCGCCGAAAAGACCTTTGCAGCAGATTTGCATTGCATCATTTGATTTCTTGACAGCTGCTCCTATGAGTGTTGACTGAGAGTCTAGATGAAATTAAATCACTTTGTTTGTTTGTTCATTTGAGATGAACTTGTTTGTCAATAAAGACTCCAAGTCCATTTTAATTTTACTTTTCCTCTTTTTTAAAAAATTAAAATCCAAGTAAAATTAAATCCTGGAGAACTTGAACTCCACATGTTAGTTTTTAAGCATAATAGAGAACATTTACATGGTTCAAACATATGTAAAGACCTCATTAAATCTGAGTATCTTTCCCCTTATTTCCACTTCTTGGTACTTCCTCTTAGCTAGTTTGCTGTTGCTCCGACATCCCCCCCCTTGGATTCCTATCTCCTCTTTGTTATTGACTCCAACACCCCAGTTGTTCCCCTGTACATGGCTTAGCCTGGTTACCGCCCTCTCCCCGACCACCCTCACCTCCTAGGTCTCCCCAGGACCTTTGGTTCCACTGCTCTCTACTTGGGCATGCCTCCCGTGCCTATCCGATATAGTAGGCACACCGACTATGATGATAAGAGTTGTATGAGCTCCCAATAAAATGATTTCTTTTTCTTTATTATTTCTTTTCTTTAAAAAAATTTTTTTTAATTTATGGTTTTTTATTATTTTATTGGGGGCTTGTACAATTCTCATCACAATCCATACATACATCCTTTGTGTCAAGCACATATGTACATTCACTGTCCTCATCATTCTCAAAACATTTGCCCTCCACCTCAGCCCTTAATATCAGTTGCTCATTTTCCCCCTCCCTCCCCACCACTCCTCCCTCATGAACCCTCCATAATTCACAACTTATTATAGTTTTGTCATAAGTTACACTGTCCGACTTCTCCCCCTACCCTGCTGTCCCTCCCCAAGGGAAGAGGCAATACCTAGATTCTTGTAATTGGTTCCCCCTTTTCACCCCACATTACCTTCACCCTCCAGGCCTTGCCCCTTTCACCACTGGTCCTTAAGGAGTCATATGTCCTGGATTCCCTGTGTTTCCAGTTGCTATCTGTACCAATGTACATCCTCTGGTCTAGCCATATTTGTAAAGTAGAATTGGGATCATGAGAGTGGGGGGGGGTGGGAAGCATTTAAGAACTAGAGGAAAGTTATATGTTTCATCGTTGCTACCCTGCACCCTGATTGGCTCATCTCCTCCCCTCAACCTTTCAGTGAGGGGTGTCCAGTTGCCTGCCAATGGGCTTTGAGTCTCCACTCTGCACTCACTCACCTTTACAATGATATGATTTTTTGTTCTTTGATGCTTGATACCTGATCCCTTCGACAGCTCGTGGTCATGCATGGCGTTGTGCTTCTTCCATGTGGGCTTCTGAGCTAGTTGGCCGCTTGTTTATCTTCAAGCCTTTAAGACCTCAGACACTATACCTTTTGATAGCTGGGCACCATTAGCTCTCTTCACCACATTTGCTTATGCACATGTTTGTCTTCAGTGATTGTGTCAGTAAAGCGGGCACCCACTGATATGATTTTCAGTTCTTTGATGTCTGATAACTGATCCCTTCTACACCTCATGGTCAGA